CCAGTCAGAACATGGAGGTCAGCAGAGCAGCTTCAGACTGAGGGAGCAGACACTGCCTGGCCACTAGGGGGCAGGATGGACACTGTAAAAACTAAGTCGTTAAAATTAGGTCGCCTATATAAAATATCTTTTTAAAGAATTTTAAAACATTTATTCAATTATTACCACATTTTTAATAAACATTGCAGCAAATATTAGCAGAGGTTATGAAAGTTCTCTAAATTATTTTATTTCAAAGCCAATCTTTGTTTTTCTGTCACATGGACCAAAATGTTGCCATAAAATTTATTTTATTGGACAAAATGTGGAACAAATTAAGTAGAAATAATCAAATATTTAAAAGTTACATAGTTTCATATTTTTCAAAGGACATTCTGCATTCAAACCAAAATATTAATTTGAGAGCAAATCAAGCAAGATTATGATTGATTGTTGAAAGATATAAAATTTCAACATGTCTGGAAATTCAAACGTTTCATGACAATATCTTCATAAAAGCAGCAACGCTGCAGCTTCTTGAAGCCGAACTCAGATCAGTTCACAGACTGAATGATCTTCAGACACATGAACTCAGTCCAGCTGTTTTCTCACAGATACATTTATGAGGATAATAACAGGAAATATCAAACCAGGACTGCAGATCATCATGTTCTCTTTTCCTCCCCATCCTCCCACAGTCAGCTGAGCTTGCACCATCTTTACTTCTGTTGTCAGGTTCTTTATCACTCCAGAACGACAAACTTGGAGAACAGCAGGGGAAAAATATCAGGTAAATGTCACAGAACAACATTTAAACAAACAATGTCTCATTATTCAGACCTTTCATCCAGAGCAGATCTGTCCACCCAGAGCCATTTTCCTTCTTCCTTTTGGTCCGTCAGTCCGATCCAGAACATGTCCTCATCGTCCTCCATCAAGCCTCTCAGTCTTTCTACCAGGAACATCTGAACAGGATTATTGATGAAAATGTCTCAGAGATGAAGAATCATGATGATGAGATGAAATGATAGAGAAGCTGAACCTGCAGCAGAGTTTCATACCTGCTCCTCTCTGCTGTCGATCTTCACCAGGTCTGATCCCAGAACCATGCAGGAGCGTTTGCTGTCATTCCAGGAGAATCTCATGGTGTTAAAATAGTAACACTTTTCTTCATATTGGTCCCAGTCTTTGGCCCATTTCAGGCACATTTTATCTTTAGATACAATAACAAAGATGTCAGTAGAAAATGCAATTATTCCAAAGTTCAATTTGTTATGTGAAAGTGTTGAATTCACATTTCTTCTGTAAAATCATCAACTACAAGTTCCCAAAAGTTACCAACTATAAGGAGCTTGGCAGAAATACAGCACCAATGTTTTCTCTGACAGCTGATCGACGATAAATACCAGAAATATTGTCTCATGTTTACATCGGTCAAAGCCAGAACTTTTATTGACTTCAAATCTTATTCACGTGGTTAATTAATTACATTTCCAATTGTATGGAAATACCACTTTTGTGAAATTGTGTTGAGATGCAGTTAATGATTCAGGAGGAATAAATCTCTAGATGTTTGTATGATCTGGAGACAGCAGGAGGCGTCTTCTGTCCTGCAGCTATAATCTAACTTCCTGTCTCTGTCGGTCCATCAATGTCTCTTTAACATCATTAGAATGAGACAAAGATCAGATCATGGACTTATTTTGTTCTGTCGGACATGATGGACATGATGGACATGTTGGACATGATGGACATGATGGACGTGATGGACGTGATGGACATGATGGACATGTTGGACATGTCGGCTGCTCTGTTCAGAGAAATGAAACCAGTTTTGATCAGTCAGTTATTTTCTTCTTCTAAAGCTGAACTGATGAACAAACATGATGAAATAATTAACTGGTGTTCTGCAATACAACATGTAAAATGGTGACCTCATGTTTCTATAATACAACATGCATGAACATCAGTGCAGGTGTTGAGAGTCAGCAGCTCCATCAGTCATGATGTCTCAGTGATGAAACATTGTTGGATAAAGAGCAGAAAGCTTCAGGAGGAGAACGTTAATCAGACACTGCAGAACAGGAGAAACATTGATCTGTTTCAGCAGAAACATCTCAGCAGCTTCACCACCAAAGCACCATAACTGATGTGTTACGGTAACAACCACAACATGGTTTTTACATGAAACGTTACAAATGAAGTTGATCCATCAGATCTGAATGAGACGTTCAGTCTGAACCTCCTGACTGTCTCACCTGAGATATTTTTCCTCAGAGCTTCATTCTCCTCTTTCAGGGTTTGGATGGTTTGATTGGTTCGTATTTTATCAAACGCTGCATGAAGAACAGATGGAGGTTAGAATTTAAAGACTCTCATCGACAAAATGGTGATGACAAAAAGAAAAATGTTGCAGACAGAATCCAGTCACAGTGGAGATGCCGACATATTCATATTGTGACTTTATGCTGTGAAGCATTTTAAACCGTCTTACTGCTGAAATGTGATGCATCAATAAACTTGATTGATTGAAACAAGTGGTGCAGTTTTTGTCTTGACCTTAAGAATTGAGTTCAGTGAAGCGATGACCCAAAGGATGAACTCACCGAGTCTGTAGATGACGATGAGAGCAGCAGCCAGCAGACCCACCAGAACCAGCAGACCCAGCAGAACCGCTCCCCCTGCTGGCATCCTGCAGGTTCTGCTTGGGTTTTCACCTGAGGAGCATTTAGAGCAGAACCGGATCAGAACCTGGAGACAGACTCACAGAGACCAACCCTGAAAGACTCTGAACATCTTCCTCTTCATGAAAGATTTCTGGGTTTTTATTCTCATTTTCTCCTTCATGAACAGAAATGAACTCGGACTGCAGCTTCTTTATGGCCTTAACTCCAGTTTGAGATCATGTTGCGTTTCCACTGAGACATCAGTCTTCATTTTCTATGCCACTAATTATAATCATCAGAGGAAGATGCATTTCTCACTTCTAGTGTTTGACTTCCTGGTTTTCAGCAGGAAGTAGTTTTTAAAAATGTAGTTTTTATTTTTATTTTGAGTTTCTCTGTTTTCCTCTCAATCTTTCATATTTGAATTCTTCACACAAGATGAAATTAGGTTTCATCCTAAGTTTTTATCTATAATTAAATCATGTTCAGTGAAATAAAGACGAAATAAAGAGTTTAATCCCAGCTCTGCTGATCTAAAGAATCAGTTTGATGTTCTGATGAAGACCACTCAGCTTCTTCATCTCCTTCCTGCTGGTTTATCATAAAATTGGTCGTCTTACCTTCATTGCAGCGCTCTGAGCGTCTCATCATGGACACACTGAGGACAGGAACAAAGACGGATCAAAACTTTGGAGGAAAATCATTTTCCTTTTATATCTTAGTTCAGTCAAATTTAGTTAAAAAAAAGTGTTAATCAAAAACATTAATCAATTATATAGATTTTTTTAAATATTCTAGAACAATAAAATCAGAAAAAGACAGAAACTGACATTATTTCTAAATTTTAAATGTTTAAATTCTCCAATATTTTCCTATTTAATGGAGACTTTGACCGTTTCTTGGGTGATAATCTAAACTCACTGTCAGAGTGTCCGTCTCCTCTGAGCCTTTCAGACAAAGATCGTCACCTTCCTGTTTCACGGCTCGGCGTTGAAGGAACTTCCTGTTCGACCCAAAGGGAGGGGAGCATCGACTGCAGAGCTGTGCTTACTGACATTGATGATTAATTTAAGACAGAAACTCTGAACCTTTGAAAAGCCAGTTCATTTCATTTCTGACTCCAATGATTTTATGAACTTATGAATCATTTTGCAGTTTTTGTAGATGTTTTTTTTCTGTCAGTTTCCTTCATCAAACTTGTTCCTCTCAATATGAAAAGATGTAAATCTGTAATGTTTCCTCTTATTGATTCTTAGTAAACTAATGATTAGTTCAGGTGGAACAAGAGAAAAAGGCCTGGAATATTTCACTATATGTGCAACAATATTTGAACTTTTTCCTGATTCTCTTTGGGAGATGAGAGTAAAAATAAAAGAACTTGACAAACAAAATTGACCAGAGGGCAGCAAATCCATATTTGCTGTTTCAGATGATTTAAGTTGAAATGAAATCCTTAATGCATAAAAAGGGAAGTGGAGACATGAAGGCAGCTTTCAGTTTGTCTTGATGGAAATGATCTGATCGTCCTCCCTCTATGAAGAGAAAAGCCTCAGGAAGTCGATGTCAATCTTTTTATTTGCAGGTTATTTCATCTCAGATTCAACATTCATACATTTAGATCTAATAATCACCTAAAACTATTTCCAGAGATCAAAAAGACAAATCAATAAACCAGAAATCTTCCAAATTCATGCTAAACGTCCAAAAAGCATTTAGAAACAGAAACTGGTGATTTAAAAACGACCTCAGCCTGAGATTATAAATAATTTAACAACGTGAAGAATAAAACGGGAAGATGGCGTCGCTATGAAAACACATCGTTTTCAACCTCAAAGCTTTTTGTTGTTCTTGAAAAACAAACAGTTTTAAACAACAAACATGTTGACTTTTAAAGTCTTAACTTATAAACAGGAAGTGGAGGAAGGAGCATATTTATCTGATGCACAACCTGGAAACAAACTTCCTGTTTCCTGTTGGTCAGTCGAGCCAACAGTTTATGCAGCCAGTAATACCAAATCAAGCTAAAATGATTTTGATGGAAAGTTTAAAGATTATGTTAATATGCTAAAGAATAAATGTTAAATGTGACAATATCTTCATAAAACCTTCATCTCTGCAGCTTCTTGATCTTAAACTTCAGACAAACACATGATCTCTATCCAGCTGGTTTCTCACAGACACTTTTCTGAGGATGATTACAGGATGAATCAAACCAGGACTTCAGATCATCAGATCTTCCTCTCTTTCCCATCCTGACACAATCAGCTTCAGCAACCTTTCCATGACCCCTGTTGTTAGGTTGGGTTTCATTCCAGAAACTCAAACTTGGAGAGAAGCAGAAAGAAAACAGATAAAGAAACAGAAAACAGTTCAAACAGACGATTTATCACCAGTCAAACCTTTTATCCAGAGGAGATCCGTCCATCCAGAGCCATTTTCCTTCTTCCTCTGAGTCCGTCAGTCCGATCCAGAACCTGTCCTGTTTGTCCTCCATCAAGTCTCTCAGTCTTTCTACCAGGAACATCTGAACAGGAGAAATTGATGAAAATGTCTCAGAGATGAAGAATCATGATGATGAGATAAAATCATAGAGAAGCTGAACCTGCAGCAGAGTTTCATACCTGCTCCTCTCTGCTGTCGATCTTCACCAGGTCTGATCCCAGATCCATGCAGAAATCTTGGCTCTCATTCCAGGAGAATCTCATGGTGTTAAAATAATAACAGTTTCCTCCATGTTTCTCCCATTCTGCTTCACACTTCAGGCATGTCAGATCTTTAAAGACAAAGACTTCAGTGAACCAGGAGGAATAAATCTCTAGATGTTTGTGTGATCTGGAGACAGCAGGAGGCGTCTTCTGTCCTGCATCTACAATCTAACTTCCTGTCTCTGTCGGTCCATCAATGTCTCTTTAACTTCATTAGAATGAGACAAAGATCAGATCATGGACTTACATTGTTCTTCAGGAGTTGGAGGACATGATGGAGCAGAAGGACATGTTGGACATGTTGGACATGATGGTGTAGAAGCTTTCCAGGTTTGAAGCTCACTATAATAGCTTTCTGTTTAGAAAATAAAAACGGTTTCATGTCAGTCTGACTTCACAAAGTCCTGCTTAGTCCAAAAAAAGTCACAAATAATTTTGACCTGTCAGCGCTGAATAAGTCTTTATGATTGAGCCTTGAGGACACTTGCAAAGATTTTTCCTCAAAGCGTCAGAGGCGATGTACGTCAGGAACATCAAATCTTTTTATGCGAATCAAATTGCACCATGAACACATTTTGGAGGCATCAGATCCGATTTTAACTTATGGATCTTAATGGATCTTAGTGGCAGAACGATGACCGGCTTCTCCTGCAGGGGTTCGGGTCAGAACCACTCCTTCACCTCCTGTTCAATACCAGCAGTTACTGCTGGTATTGTGTCACAAGGTGATGCCCATCACAAGGTGATGCCCTTCCCATCTGGGTGGAAATGGGACTTTTTACATTTCTTATCTCGGAGGCTCAAACATACCCGGTTATGATTTTGCTCAAATCATTTTTCTTACTGTTAATTAAATGTGACCACAATAAGACTTCTGTGTGAATGGTTCACGACCCGCATGAAACACAAGAAGCCGTCAATGATTTCATGATTTGGGTTTGTGCTCGGCGTTTAGACTCACGCGTGACGGAGAGAGCGATGACGGCCGCCACCAGCAGAACGCTGAGAACCAGCAGAGCCGCGCGCTCTGCGGTGAGTCCGGCTCTTATCCCACGTCTGGGCTCAGTTTCCCTCATTTCACTTGAATCAAATGGTTGAGAGTCTGAGAAACACCAAGACGGGATTCATTAATAATAAGAATATTATGTAGTTTAGAAATAGCAGTGCTTCCTCCTAAATCTGTTCAGTTTATGTTGCTGACAGTTGTTGGAATAAATAATTCCCATAGAGTTATGATCCATTCAATGTTCATGCTTTTAAATTACAAAGAGAGATGCTGTTAACCTCCATATTGTTATGAATTACATGGATGTGCAAACTCTGACATTTTGCACTTATTTAATCACCTATTATTATTGAACATAGTTATCCTACATGAGCAGTCAGTTATAAAGAAAGCAGAGTTACAAACTACAGCAAATGTTCAAAAACAACCCAAAGATCAGGAATAAAGTGTCAAGAGTTTTGGGTATTAATAATTTCCCTCTTGTCTGAATCTTCCTCTGGAAATTTTTTTTTAAATGTTTGATTTTTTTGTTTTTTGCAGCATTAAAACCTTTCTTTAAAAAAGTTCAGTAGTAAATAAGCTCATCAATGCTAACATAGGAGATATTTATAACCGTTCAGAAGAGAAGAAAATAAAGTTTAGACTGAAGAGTCACTTACCTTCTGTGAGTTTTCTCAGGCATCTGACTTCAGAGTAAGTGACTTCAGCTGAGAAACGATTATCAGCTGCATGTGAGACAAAAATCAGTCAGTTTGGGTCGATGTCTGACAAACTGTGATTTCTTTTGCATTACATCTACAGACAGAGAGAGGTGAACTGACCTTTGGCCTTGGATTTCGGGAACTTCACATCAGAGTACGTCACCTCGGCAGCGGCCATGTTGGAGCGCTGAGCCTGACGGGGAAGTGAAGTTCAGACGTTTGTGAAGTTCTGGAGGATTCAGAGCCGAGTGACGGCCAACCTGCAGTCGGGTCGGAGCGGAGACGCTGACTTGGCGGAGATGAAAGTTTGATGTGGTATTAAAGGCAGGTTGAGAGCTATAAATTACCATTAGTGGTAAACGATATCAGTGATGATGAGACCAATGAAAGAACAGGAAGCAACTCTCACCACAGATAAGATAGACAGGAAACCTAAAGTTTCCATTCCACCATATTGAAGACAAATATTTACTTCCTCTGTACGTTCTTTACCTCATTTAAATTACTCAAGAAATTGTTTTAGTTTTATAATTTGACAATTACAAAGCATTTGTTCCAGCTAACAAAGGTTTGGAAAAATCCACTTTGCTTCCCCTTCACCATGTTAATATTCATAAAACTTTCAAACTTATTACAGCTGAGCAACAGAAAGACTTAAACCTCATTATCTGCTGTTTCAGTTCCTGAGTTTTCAGGTTTATTAGTTCAGCACATTTCAGCAGCAAAGTTCAAATCATAAAATTAACATAAACATTTAATTGCAGAGGCAAAATAAAGAAACCAACAAGCTGCAGTCCAGACGAGCTTTAATCATTGTTTTCAGCCTTGATTTAAAGGAGCTCAGTGTTTCTGCAGTTTTGTTGTTTTCTGCTTTTCCATGTCTGGTTCTGGTTCTGAGGATGCAGAGCAGAACCAGAACCAGAAGACCTGAGAGGTTGCCCAAATCATCCATGATTTATAGATCAACAAACATGTTTTAAAGTCTGTTCTCTGAAAGACGTCGTTTTCATTATTTTACCAGTTTTCCAGCTGCAACCAGAATTTTACACAAAGAAAATAAAAAAGTGAACTAAACCATACATCCACGGTGAAACTCTTCACCGTTATCAGGACTACGACTGGATCGTTTGTGTGTTTCTTAAAATGCCTCTTTGCCTGCAAGTCTTCGCTGTGTTACATGACTAGTCGGATCAACAGGCCTGCGGTTCACCGTGAGATGGGCTCAGCTAGACGTTGAACTTTTCTCACACATTGAGATTTGTTGATTAAACTCCAACCCACAAGATTAAAGTCAAGTTTAAAATGCTTCAGGGGATTATCAGCTGAAAGACGAGGCTGCAGGAAAATGTTCAGAAATGTCAGTAAATAGAAACTGATAGAAACTGACTGCATCCCTGAGGAAACGCAGCATAAACTAATAATTCTCCTTTCTCTGCTATTAACGTTTTACTTCCATAAACAGTTCATCATGTGTTTATTTTTGTACATTCTGTCTGTTCTCAAACTCTGGCTCATACTGAGCCAGGTTCTGGTTCTGGTTCTGCTGGAGGTTTCTTCCTGTTAAAGGGGAGTTTTTCCTCTCCAATGTCCCCATGTGCATGCTCTGTATGCAGGACTGCTGTGAAGTCAACAATGTAACTCAGAGATTGTTGTGACATTCTTGTCTAGGAGGAGCAAATGCTGCAAACTGATGACCAGATCCAACCTGCCTGGTTTCCTTCCACAGAAACTTTTTAAAGATAATTTGAATAATTAACTGAGTTTAATGCACTGTCAGCAACATGCAGAGAACACACAGAGCTTGGTATGAGCTCTGAGATTACAGGACAGAAACACTGCATGCATGGGATCACTCATCTTAAGTTCATCTCATTTGCATCATTATCTGAGTGCAGAATGATCTTCTTCATTGCTCTGCATACCTTAGACCTTTGAAATAAAAATGTCCTCTTCGTTCCACAAAATCATATTCACAAAAAGCAAAGAAGACGTTCTGATAATGGTAGAGCAATAAAAAAGAAATACAAAGTAAATTTAGCATTGATCTGATCCTGCAGTGATCTGACGGGTCGTTCAGTTTCAGACACAGCTGTTTTCTTCCAGTTCAGATGTTAAATATTGTCTCTAAAGGCAGTTTGTGTTCAGTCTGGTTGATGTTCTCACCTCTGGCTGCAGCTTCTTTATCTCCTTCCTGCTGGTTTGTCTCCATCTTTAATCTTCTTACCGTCTTCGCAGCTCAGTGGACGTGTCCTCATGGAGACGCTTCACAATCAGGAAAACTCTCTGACAAAGAGAGACAAAGAGCTTTCTATGAGCGCTTATAGCCAGTCTTCTCAATAAACTGTCCTAATTAAAGAGTAAAGTTACTGACTCAAAACCCAGGATATTAGATCAACAATAAATTATCAATTATCTTGACACATATTACTCCTGGAATTGATTTCTAATTCTTTTAAACGACAGTTAATTTAATCTTAACGTAAAAGTCTGCAATAATATTTTCCAGTGCAAGAAAAACAACCATTTCCTTTTGCTCCATTGTGCTTTGAAGTTCAGAAATGTTTGCGTTTCCTCTGACGTTCTTCTAATATTCACTGGACAGAAAAGCATCTGGACTCACCACCACTGTGTCCTCTCTGCACTGCAGACTCCGGACTAAAAATCGCCTCTAACTTCCTTCTTCACAGCTTTATGTTGAAGAAACTTCCTGTTAAACTAGAATGATCATAAAGAGGCTTCAGCCGTTTACTTTATTATTCTGTTTTATAAACGGTTATTATTGTTCTGTCTTTCTACCAGGAACATCTGAACAGGAGAAGTTGATGAAAATGTCTCAGACATGAAGAATCATGATGATGAGATGAAATGATAGAGAAGCTGAACCTGCAGCAGAGTTTCATACCTGCTCCTCTCTGCTGTCGATCTTCACCAGGTCTGATCCCAGATCCATGCAGCAGCGTCTGCTGACAGTCCAGGCTGATCTCACAGTGTTTAAATAATAACATTTTCCTCCACGTTGCTCCCATCCTGCCGCACACTTCAGACAGGTTTCCTCTTCAAACTGAACAAAGTATTCAGTGAATCAGGAGAAATAAAGTTCTGTGTTACTTTACAATAATGCTCCCCTTTTTGTTCACAGACATGTTGTAAATTCATCTCTGAACATTTTATAAATCATTAATGACTGTCTTTTATGCACTAATTAAGGGTGAGAAGGAGAAAAAAATCACCCAGTTTCTTGCCAAATAGTGAGCCAAGTCTGTTCACCTTTTTCTGAAGATGGATCTTTTCACAGATTATTTGTATCCTATCAATCCGACAGTTTTGACAAATATGTAAAATATATATATTTTCATAGAAGTTACATACTTCAGCTTTGACTCCCCAGGACAAAGATAAAAATGTTTCTTTTCAGGTGAAAGTATTTGACTGATCGACTGGAGGAAAAAACCTTAAATCTGGTTTAATTGAAGTTTTTGTATTCACTGGTTCATTCAGCCTGAGGAATGACGCTCTACTATCTATCAGATATGCAGCAACAGGAGACATGACATTTCCTGTTTTTCAGCATCTTCTTCCCTTTTGCAGCCATAGTTTCTGCATTTACTTCAAACACCAGACCATTTTGAAATGATTTTAAAAGTATTTTTCATGACTGTTTCTTCACCCCAAAAAATATATCAAAACTTAGAATATTGAATGTGTAAAAAACCCGGTTTGTGTTCAGTTTGATGAAGACGACTGACCTCTGACTGTCGCTTCTCCATCGCCTTGCTGCTGATTCGCCGTCACGTTCGTCATCTCATCGCTGTCTCTGATTGGTGGACGTGTCATCATGGAGACGCTCCACTCTGAGGACAAAACATTTCTGTTCATATGTTTCCAGAAATCTGCTCTTGAACTCCAAATTTAAATTGAGAAGGAATTTTCTGTATAAAGACCAATCAAGCACATTTGGGTTGGATTATTAAATCAAAATTCACTTCATTTATTTAAGGTCTTTTCAGAATAAAAACAAAACTACCTGCATGCAAATTGCACAAAAAGGAGAGAAAAAAAGAAAAAATAAACATTAAATTAGACAGAATAAAACAAAAACCAAGTGTTAAAACAACACAATTATACAAAAAGATGTTTTTATGTTTTCTTGAGAAATTCTTTGAGTTTTTATAGGACAGAAAACCAACTGGACTCACCTTCAGTGTTTGGTGCCTCGGCTTTCAGACTGAAGATCTGTCCCTCACCTTCCTGTTTCAAAAGCTTGGTGCTGAGTTGAAGGAAGGAACTTTATTTTGAGCTTAAATTATGATATTGGTAAAGTCAGAGAAGTTGAGTAACATGTTAATTTGTCACATTCCTGTAGGGTTTTGGTTTCTTGCCTGTTTTTCTGTTCTTGCTTCCTGTTCAGGTGATTTCTGCCGTGTCATGTTCAGGTAAAGATCATGTTTCCTGTTAACTGGAGGAGAAAGGTTTGGTTCTTCTGTCTTATAGTGAGGCCTATAAATGACATGATGTTGCTGTGAGTTCTCAGATGATGTGTATGTTTTTTTTTCAAGCCTGATTTTATTAATAACATTGAGGTTGAAATTGTTTCTAAAATCTTTAATCTTGCATTTGTTGTTGGGAATGTGTGATTTTGAAAGATACAGTTGACTCTTTTAGCTACTTTAAAGAAAAATGTAATTAAATACGTCATATTTCAGATCAATTTACACAGAAAATATGTATGAAAATGCTTTAATTGACAATAAATCAAGAACAACAGCGAAGGGAACAATTATTATAGCAATGTATGTGATGAAATGTTTTTTCCCTCCTTTGTTAAAGTGGAGAACTTGATGATTGAACCTCATTGTTCGACAGCTACAACAAAAACAAGAAGCTTGTAAAAGCTGAATAAAACATTTTAATGATTTTACGTATTTAACAGGAGATTTGTTGTTACAGGAAGTGAAAATCAGGTAAAGATCTCTTAGAATCAGGATGTTTATATGGTAATTATCTTTATAAAATGTGCAGAGATATGAAGCTGTTTTCTGGACTGAATTGAACGACACACAAACACGACTGCATTTCTGCCTCTTTCTCACAAATAGAAGATCAGCACAATCTCTGTCCAACCACAGCATCTCCGGAGTTTTGTCTGCAGTCCAGAGTACCGTGACATTCACCCCATGCTCCTCCCCTACGCACTCAGGCTGTTTGCTTCATCTTCAAGAGATCAGAACAAAGACTTCAGTGAATCAGGAAAAATAAATCTTCATAGACAGTTTCAGGTTTTATGTCCTTTTGGCACAATCTGACTTCCTGTCTGTCAGTCCATCAGTGTCCGTTAGCATCATGAAATAAAACAAAGATCAAACACCGGACTTACTTCTTCTTGTAGTTGGTGGATACGTTGAAGGTTTTGGAGTTGTTGAAGGAGGACATGTTGAAGGAGGACATGTTAGAGGAGGAGGACATGACGAAGGAGGACATGTTGAAGGAGGACATGTTAGAGGAGGAGGACATGTTGAAGGAGGACTTGTCAAAGGAGGACATGTTGAAGGAGGACTTGTTGAAGGAGGAGGAGATGTTAGAGGAGGCAGAGATGTTGGTTGCTTTGGTTCTGTGGTTCCAGTCGTAGCATAAGGAGCTGAAACGGGACAAGATGGACATGTAGGCTGGTTGATGCTTGCTGTTTAAAAATAAATGTCAAATCAAAAGTTTGAACTGAAGTACAACAGACTCCTTTATTGCAGGAGCTCAACAGAAAGTAAACAAAGTTCTTCCACTGATGTTTATCTCTTAACTTGGGTAGAATATTAATTTGGCTCTTCCTCTTCATCACTTCCTCTTTATATTCAGTCAATATTTTGACAGTAAAGCCAGTTAATATTTGACAATGATTAAAAATCAATTTTATCCAACATTAAATATCTGGGTTCAGAGTTTTCTGTTAACCTTGAAGTTCTTCCCAGCAGTTTTTCTGTTTTTTTGCGTTTCTGCTCTGACGTCTCAATCGGTGGCTGCTGGTTCTGAGCCGGTTACCTGCAGCCACTAGTTACCAATCTAGTTCAAATTGATTTGAATTAATTGATTAATTAATTGGAATTCATTGAAATTATTTTTTTTCAAAGTGCCTACAGAATTGGTGCTACATAAATAAACTGAACTGAATAAAATGTTTTCTGCTGAATTAAAGAAAATGAATTGTTGATGAATATATAAATATTTTCAACATTGTTAAAATAATTAAAATCCCAGATCTGAGTCTCACCTGAGATGTTTTCCTTACACATTTTGATCTCCTCATTCAGCCTTTGGAGAGTTTCGTTGTACTTTGTATAAAATACAACTAGTTAAAGAAAAAACATTATAATCACCTAAATGCAAAATAACATTTGACATTATTTACAAACTTACTATGTAAAAAGTAGCATTTATTAATAACATTTTACTCTGGAAGTTTCTGTGATATCAGTGGCTGAATTTTTCACCTGCTTATTTAACTAATGGTTATAAAGAATATTCCAAACTAGCATCTATAAAAACTAACTAAAAACAAAACATGAAATGTTTTTGCTAAAAATACATTTTTGAATCACATTGATATAAACTTAATATTAAGAGTTTGTTTATTTGATGTATTTTCACAGGTAAATTATTTTCAAACCCAGGCCACAAGCAGCTGCTGCCAGGAGAACGATGAGACCAATCAGAACCACCAGAACCACTGGAGACATTTTGGACTTCCTGTCCCGTCCGGGTTGTTGAACATCTGCTGACCAGAGAGCAGAAAATCAGAGGGGAACGGATGTCTGATCACGATGTGATAACTTAGCACGCAAACATGATGCACAATAAAAAATGCAGTGAACAACACAGATGGAAGATGCCTACCCTCCTCTATTTTTTTAATGTGAATCGATAAATCCTTTGGGTCTGAAACATAGAGACAGAAATATCTTTCACTGTCCCTCAGGAGGGAAAATCAGTTATAGAAACAAATTGGAAGCACACAAATTGACACAATGGTAAAAATGCATAAATAAATAATTACACTGCAAGTTCAAATTTACAACGTTAATAGAAATCTGCTCAGTTTCTTAGAAAAGTGCAAATCTGCAGCTGAGAATGATCATTTGAAATCTCCGTCTCTATTTTTCCAGGTAACTGAAACACAACAGACTTTTTACATTTAGATTTACATAAATGAAAATTAAGACTAAACTCAATACACTGATGTTCAAATCATGAACAATAGCGACGGCAGTTTATTGCTGCAGAAAATGAGAAGTTAAATGCTTTGTTCCCTGAAGTGACATATTTCACTGGTAGGAAACGTCTGATAATAATAAAGCAATAAAGAAACAGAAACATGAACTCACAAGTGCAATTAATCATAAAAACATCCTATAAATATGAGATTTTAAAAAAAAGGTCAGATTGCAAATATATTTGTTTTTCTTTTCTGTTTTTAACCCAAATCAGAGACTGTTTATGATCAGAATTTTTAAATCTGTTACAATTTGTCCAGACTATGGAGTTAAAATCCTTCCCAGTAATTATAAAACCCGATAATAAAACTCATCAGGAAATGACAAACAAACCCCAACACAAAAAGTTTCATCAAAATGGGTTTTACGTACAAAGAAAATGACGTAAAACGAGTAAAATAAAATTTATTCCACATCAGATTACCTTTGTTTAAGAAAGTAAAGTCTGCCATCAACTTCTCTGTCATTAAATTAAATAGTTTCTCTTTTGTGTGTGTACATAAAAATCTTCAGCTGTAGATATACACAGCTGTGTTTTAAAAAATAAATAGCAATAAAAGCATAACAGTTTCTTCAGACACAAGCTGCTTTCAGAGAAAAGTTTTTGTTCAAACCTTCCAGTTTCGGAAACTGGACTTCAGCATAAGTGATGTCAGTCGATGAAGAATTTTGATCTGCACAAGTAACACGAAGAAATAAATCAGATGGAGTCAACATGGGTTCAGTGTTCACTGCAATGCAGAAAAGCACGATTTGAAAAACTCACGTTCAGGCGCTGATTTGGTGAACTTCACGTCAGAGTATGTAACTTCAGGCATGATTCTGCTGGGAGTCTGAAAGAGAACTGCAGGCCAGGAGGACGAGGAGCTTTTAACAGCTTCCTGCAGGCAGAGAGGAAACAGACACACCTGAGCAACGATGGTTCCACTTTAAAACAGGTGACATCAAAGGCATCAGTAATAAAAAACTAGATAATTTCCACATAGAAATGATCTGTGTTGTAAAGAAATTGATACAAAATAAAAGTAAAAGTACTCCTTAAAACTTTTTACATCATAAAAGTTTAAAAAGTGCAGCTTCTTTGGTCTGGACTAAAGTTGAGTTGCATTTTTGCCATCAATGAAAAAACTTCTTTGAGTTAAAAGGGACTTGCTGCTTAAATTTCACATTTGGCCTGTTTCTGTTCTGTCATTTAGTTGCTGCTGCTTCTAGAAACAACCAAAGCAATTAAAGAAAACATCCAGGTAGTTTTTGGTGATCAGTGAATGTTTCTTGGTGTCTGCAAAATGAGCTGTACTGAAAACCTCCCGTCTAAGTCACCATCAATGGGCGCTACACGTTAACTAGCTGAACTCCAGAGTGTTTGCTCAGCTGGTTTTACTGCTGTAGTCGCTGTACAATGACTGCTGGAAAAGACGAGTGATTTGGTGCGTTCTTGCTGATTGTGCAGGAGGCTCCACTTCTGCCGTTAAAAGATGTACGTTTGTATAGTTGTGTATCTGTTTTCAGCCATTGTGAGTGTAAGTATAGCGTTGGGGGGCGTGGCGAGCGGCCGCTCATTTGGAATGAAAGTGACAGAGACCCTGAAACGTCTCATTCTGAAAGGAGAACTGGCCGGACGAAAACAGCCCAAAAACGGAAACGAGTCGGACTTAGAGGTGACAGGAAGAAAAAGACGGAGTCTGAGCAACACCGTCTCTTTTTTCTCTTTTATTGACATTTAATTATTAACGCTTTTTCCAGGTCATGTCCAAACACAAGTGTCTGCAAAACCTGAGGTTGAGGTGATGGATTGAAATGTGTTCGTTGAAAGTACATTTACTCGTTCTGGTCTTATCTCCACATAGCAAGCATTTCAGACTTTAATGCTTTTGTTTCCATTTACAATGTTTTGGCATCAATTTGGGGTAAATATCTGTCAAGGTCGTTTGATTTAGTGCATATAGTAGCCAAGTGCAACCAGCAGGGGGATTCTGGCGCTATTGAGCCACTGAGAGTCATGTTATGGATGGACTGATGGACAAAACACTCGAGTAAATGTCAAGAGGAGTTCATGATTCAACCTCATGAGCTTCATATTTAATAATTAAAATGAACACAGGAAACTCATAAGAGATGAAAAATCTTTATTAATTTTTACATATTCAACAGGAACTTTGCTGTTATTACAAATAAAAATAAAGTAAATCTCTTTTAAAATCAAAGTAATTTTTTATTGACATGTTTTTAAAAGAATATTTTAAAGTGTGCAGAGATCTGAAGCTGTTTTCCAGACTGAACTGAACTTCACACACAGAAACGCTGGATTTTTGAATCTTTCTCACAGATACATCTCTGATGATCATCACAATGTCTATCATACCAGCGGACCTTATCAGGGTTTCCTGTCTTCATCATCATCACACAGTCCATCTCTGCTCCACCCAAAGCACCAGGCTGTCCAGGAGCCCAGAAGCTCAAACTAAGAGATGAGGAGCAGAAAGACAGATGTAGATGAACTGGAATGACTTTAACTCTGGAAATGAAACCAAATAATTTGAGAATAATCAGACCTTGTGTTCAGTGGCGATCCGTCTGGCCACAACCAGGAGCCTTCTGTCTTTGAGTCGCTCAGTCCGATCCAGAACGTTTCATTATTCTCGATTATGTCCCTCAGTCTGATCTCCAGGAACATCTAGGCAGAAAACGTTGATGAAGATATAAGTGAAACTTTTCTGAGCTGAGATGAAGAATTATGATGATGAGATGAAATCATAGAGAAGCTGAACCTGCGGCAGAGTTTCTTACCTGCTCCTCTCTGCTGTCGATTTTCACCAGGTCTGATCCCAGATCATCGCAGGACTGTCTGCTCTCATTCCAGGAGGATTTAGTGCTGGAGAAATAATAACAGCTTCCTCTGTATCGCTCCCAGGCGGCTTCACACTTTGGGCATGTCTCATCTTTAAACAGATCAGAACAAAAACTTCAGAAAATCAGAGGGAAGAAATCTTTGGAGACATCCTGCAGCTCCAACCTGGAGGAATCTACAGGACAGAAATGAAACTCAGATCAAATGCTGGTCATTTTACTGCAGGAGTCGCTGTAAAGAAGCTGGAAACACTAAAAGAGTGGTTCATCTTTAAAGATCATTTTCTAAATAAATTCTTCTCAACAGATACCAAACACATTAAATAAAATAGTGAAGAAGAACAAAAGATTTTTAACATAAAACATTAAATCTAGACTTTAAATCCTCACAGTCTCACCTAAAATAATCGTCTTCAGTGACTCCAGATCCTCCTTCAGGGTTTGGCATCTTTCATTTTTCATCAGATAAAAAACAGCTGTTTTAACCAAAAATAAGCTGATAATTAGGGTCAGTTTCATGCAAAAATTATCAAGTCAAAGTTCACTTATACAGCACATTTACAACAGCCTGAGCTGGTCGAAGTGCTTCACAACAAACACAACATGCCAACTGACAGAATGGACATAACATAAAGCTGAGTAAAAATAATATAATAAATATAAAATTAGCAAAGATTCTAAAGTTAATAGTAGGAATAAGAAGCAAACAATTGTGAAAATTCAGCTGAAGCAATTTTCTTCCATCCTTCAACTTTTCTCTTTAACTGCTGCTGAAGGCCAATACAACGTCCTGCCATAACATTTAAATAAAAACACTTTTTTATTTGACTTCAAAGTTGAAAAAACCCCAAAAACTCACTAATGCTCAGAGCAAAGACTACAACGACCAAGAGAGTGATGAGAACCAGCAGGACGGCGTGTTCTGGAGATATTTTGGACTTCCTGTCCCGTCCAGGTTGCTGCAGATTTGCTGAATAGTGAGAAGAGATTGAACGGTGGAAGTGTTGCTTCATCTGGCCATGAAGACTTTTACCACATGACAAATAAACTGAACATGAAGACATTTTTCACATGAAAAATTAACCTGCAAAAGGAAATACCTCAGTACAATATATGATAAGAGCAAAATGAATGACAATGCCCTTTGAAAAGGTGAGTGAAAAACACAGATTTGCTATTAATATAATTGACATAAAACCATCGCTAATTTGAATTCATTAATACCGAATTAATGCCAAACTGGATAAAAATCAACTATGTGATCGTGTCAATAGGATCATAACAAGGCGTGCCTAATAAAGCGGCAACAGGTTGGTGAGAGATTCATAACAATAGGCTTCCATGTTTAGCAATAGAGATCACAAAGCGGAACATGTTAAGCAGAACAACCAGAGTGAGTTTCTGATATGAAGGTTTTCAGATTATCAATAATGTTCAGATGCACATTATTCATAATGCAACAGTTAACTGTTGCAGAAAGAGAGAAGTCAAGGCCATTGTTCCCTGCAGTGACATATTCCACAGGTAGGAAGTGTTTTAGGTCAACAATGGTAAAACAATAAACTAACAGTAATATGCACAAGAATAAACTTATAAGAAATTCAATTAACCATAAAAACATAATTAAAACATCAAACATAAAATCTTCAAATTCTTCAGATTTATTTCCACACCAGATGCCTTCAGAAATGTTTGTTTTAGTTCAAACCTTTCTGCTTTGAAAGCTGGTCTTCAGTGCAGCTGTTGTCAGTGATTGAAGAAACATCTGCACAAAAACACATAAATTAATTCATCTGATGGAGTCCAGCTTTTATAACTGAGAGTTTGGAAAAAAGAAAGTGCCAATTTACAGACAAATCAAGTAACAATACAATCACTGAAACAAATATTTAGGTTTATGAAAATAATTTTCATCATGAATCTAAAGCCTAAATTTGTTCAGATGAAGTGCGACTCAAATTTCAATTAGATTTTTGTTCAAACCTTGTTGTTTTGTAACCATGACATCATCATAAATGTCATCAGCCACTGCATTATCTGCATAAAAAAACATAAGGAAATCAATCTGATGGAGTCAAACATTAGTTTAATAGTTAAATTTCTGAAAATCAGAAAGTGTCAGCTTAAGGACAGTAACAATCAAATCACTCAAGAAAATATTGGGCTAATAAAAATTACATTTCACAAAACTACTAAAAGTTACACTTTATTAAAACACAAATTAGTATATAAAAAGCAATGTTTTTGTTCAAACCTTGTTGTTTTGAGACGATGACATCATCATAAATGTTGTCATCCACTAAAGAAGCATTATCTGTGTGAAAAAACATGCAGAAATCGATCTGATGGAGTCAAACATTCGTTTGGATTTTTGAAGAAACGCATGAGAAAAAGCTCACCTCTGGGCGCTGATTTTGTGAACTTCATATTGCAGCTTCAGACTCGTTTCTGCTGGGAGTCTGACAGAGAACTGCAGGTCAAGAGAGACAAACAGTTTTAAATCTTCCTGCAGGCAGGGAGGGGACGACACACCTGAGAAATGACAGGTTCACACAAATCTGACAGGGATTCGCAGCATCAATACAACCTCATATTCAGCAATACAAGTCATAAAATTATTTATACATCAAAATTATTTGTGTTCCAAAAAATTTTTACTCAAAGTTGTTCTTATTTGAGGTTTAAAATATTTAAAATATTTAAATATTTTAAATATTTTGATGTGCAGCTAATTAGCATTTGAACGGAAAATATTTGTTGTTACTCTTAATAAAGGCGTAAATAAACAATTCCGTGCTTTCCGGTCAAAAACCCCAAATAAATTCAATTTAGTGATATTTTACAGCGAAAGAGTGTGGGGAATAAAATAGTGCGCGTTCCTTTAAACGTTTTCCGGAAGCGGTATTATGCTCCTCCAATCCTGTGCGACACCCGTAAATTGACTCGCCTGCAAACCAATCAAATCGCGGACTCTCTCCGGTGTGGGCGGGGCTAAGGTGTCATATTGAAAAGGAGGATGTGGCTCGTTCTTTCTGGCCAACTTGGCTGAAGTGTCAGCAGCGCCGCACCGACAGACTTCTGGAAAGTTTCTGCGTGGTGTCGCCCCCCTCCGCTGCTGTTATGGCCCCCAGCGCGCAGTTGAAGGAGGCGATAGCTGATGTACAGGACGGCATCCGAGCCATCCTCCTCGGACCTCCCGGAGCCGGGAAAGGGACTCAGGTGAGGCTCGCAGCGAGCTAAGGCTGCTAATGTTAGCTGTTAGCTTCGAGGAGAGAGAGGTGAAGTGCGCATGATCGATAACTACTTAATAAGAACTTTAACCTTTATTCCTTTATTTCAGGCTGTCATTAGCTTCTGTGATTAAAAATTACATTTCAGTTTTATTTCAGTGACTAAAGGCTAGAACGATAAAATGTTTTAATTTCTTAATTTTTAAGATTTTTGTTTTGCTAAATTGTTTATTTGTTGCTTAAAACCAAAATCCAGTTTTTTCCTGATTTTAATATTTCAGGAACTTAATGCATTGTTGAGGACAGGACATGTTCCCGACTCCCAGTTTGCTTTAATCAGGTTAATTCATTAAATGGGAAGAAGCTCAGCTGTCAATTAGATCTCAATGGCTTCTGCTGGTTTCCAATTTGATAAATAAATTACTCCAATTTATGCACCTGCCCGTCCAGCGTTTGACTGTAAATATTAAGGAATACATAGTTGTATAATGTTATAAATGTTCAGTTGAATTGAACTCTGGCTCTAATGGATATGCAAACACCAAGAAACTGCAGAAGCAGGAGGCAGAGCAAGGAATTCTGGGTAAATGCAACCAAACAAATGTCTGAGTCTCGAGAAATGGCTCATGGGCTTTCACCAAAGACAAAAGTTAAATCCTACAACAGCTGAAATCTGAAGCCACTCCATTTTTATTTGCATTTTGTGAAGAAAGGAATTGCGCTGAAAGGTTTTTATGCAATTTTCTTCAGTAGTTCTTGCTACAGCGCCACCACAGGCGAGGAGGGGAACCAGTTGCTCAAAGTGTTTGGATGGATTGATCCAAAGTGGTGTGAAAGAGAACCACAGCAGCTGAAAATACAACATGTTGCAATTTTGATCCCAAATCTAACCCAGTTTACCAGATTATCTGGTGTGGGAAAAAAACTGGAATTTATTGGTTTTTGTTCAGAGTGATTGCAAGATGGAACAAGAAATATTCATATAGTAAAGGACTGTTCATAGTGCAATTCCTGTTGACTAATATATTCAAAGTCTTGGAAATTTGCATCTTTCATGCTAATGTAACACATTGAGTCTATTGAACAGAGTTTTACTGCAGCAGATGGTCACCTTATGCAACAGGTTAAAGGTCGCAGAATAATGGAAACACTGAAAAAAGAGTGGACTGAAGAAAATGCATAGAAATACTAACTAATAATAATATCACTGAAGTTTCTAAAATTGCGCGGCCCTGCCTCCTGCAGCCTCTGTTTGGAGCTTTTTCCCAGGAAGGAGATACAGAGAAATCACTTTAGGGATTAAATATCCTGTCTGGCCTGGGAACACCTTGGGATTCCTCAGGAAGAGGAATGTCTCAGTTTCTCCGTCTGAACTTTTCCCAACTGCAAAATCTCTTTCAAAGTAAATTCATCATCATCAAATTCCTCTATAAAGCGCTTTAACGCCAGCCACAGCTGAAACAAAGTGCTGAACATCAATAACAAACAAGACAAAAGAAAAATAAAGTGACAAAACTAAGCACAAAGCTTGCTGTTTCTTTTCACAAATCTGTTTAGGTAAGTTTAAGTTTGTGTGTGTGTGTGTCTGTGTGTGTGTGTGGGGCCCCTGCAGGCTCCCCGGTTAGCGGAGAAGTACTGCGTCTGCCACCTGGCCACAGGAGACATGCTGAGGGCCATGGTGGCTTCAGGCTCTGAGCTCGGCAGGAGGCTGAAGGAGACCATGGACTCCGGCAAGCTGGTAAAACATTTCTGCTTTCATATCGTCCCTTCAAAAAAATAAAATCACACATGACAACCAGACTGAATATCTGAGCCGCATGTGTCTAACTTGTCATTTTAAGGTATTTTCTAATCTAGTTTGGTGGGAAATTTGAGTAAAATATTGTTTTAGTGAAAACTTTTTACTAAGTGAGTTATCAAATAAATTTGTCATTCAGTCCATTCTGTCTGTGTTTGAAAAACACTTTTAAAGTCAGTTTAGCTGTTTTTCTGTATCGGATCGTTATCAGCCGATACCAAACCTCAGATATCGGTATTGTAATTAAAGTGGATGTGTTTTCAAACTGTTTTTGTCTTTGTAGGTTTTGTCATGAACTGAAGGTAAAATGCAGGAGGAATCCGTAGCTTTGCGTTTGTTCCTTTAAAGTTTAGTTTTCTGTCAGTGGGATTCGTAGGACATCATGATTACCACCTGTGATGTCATTTCCTTTACTAATTTAGAGGCTGCTGGTGCTTCCTGTGGCTTTGGTGACAGTTAATTAAACACTGTGCTATCTGCCAAGTTTCTAGAGCTTTGTCAGGTAGATAAAGTTGCAGGACGTTGTTGAGCGTTTTCCTTTTTCTTGCAGGTCAGCGATGAGATGGTGGTGGAGCTCATAGAGAAGAACCTGGACACGACCGCCTGCAGGAACGGCTTCCTGCTGGACGGCTTTCCCCGAACAGTCAAACAAGCAGAAATGGTTCGCAACGACTTTTATTCCTCATATTTTATTCATCGAGTTCTGTGAAACTAACAAGGGAAGATAATCTAACGTATTGATGAAGACAAACAATGAAGCTGAACGTCCTCTGTGCTGTTTGTCCTCCAGCTGGACGACTTGTTGGAGAAAAGGGACGAGAAGCTGGACTCTGTGATCGAGTTCTCCGTGGACGACTCCCTGCTGGTTCGGCGGATCTGCGGCAGGTAGGAGCCACGGAAAAACGAACCAATCGTGTGTTTCGTTTCAGCCAGAACTGAAAGCTGAGTCATGCATGACAGCCGCTCCTCTGATCCACAGCCAGAATTTAACTTGCAGGATAAACGCCTTGGCTCCGAGCCACAAGAAACCGGAGCTGCAGTCACAACGTGTCTGAGCTGGTCTAAAACCTGCTGCGTTCAGGGATCAACCAGGATGAGACTAAACAGGAACAGCAGAGTACAAACTTGACCCTGGAAATACTTTGTTTTTCAACGTTTTGTTGTGAAGCTGCAGTTCCAGTAACCTGACTGGAAATGCTGTGTAGGATGCAGATTTGACCACTAGGTGTCGCCTGTAAGCTGTTAATCACGACAGCACTGCTTTTGTTTCCTCAAAACTTACAGAATAACGTTTCTGAACAATTAGTGTCATCCTGCATTTCGACAATAAATTATTTTATTACAGTTTAACATTAGCCTGGATTTTAAAGCAAGTTAGCTTCATCTAGCTGCACTTTCAGTGTTGATTTAACCACAAACAAACATTAAGTTGTTGCAATTTTTTTAGAAGAGGTAGAAACCCAAATGGAAGAACAAAAATATTTACAAAATGTTAAATTTGCATCATGTGCCCCTTTAAAGAATAAAGAGCCCATAGCAGAACTGTTCATGTTGTCACATGGTATCTGCTGTATAATGGCTGCTGGAAAAGACAAGTGGTTTTGTTTTGACTTGTCATCCAGAAACCTATTGCTGCATTCTTGTTGGTTGCGCAAGAGGCTCCACTTCTGCTTTTCAAAAGCGTACAGTTGTATAATTGCGCATCTGTTTGCAACCATTTTCATTAAGAGATTAAAATCTCATTATCCAAGAATGATTTTGTTAAAAATGTAAGGAACATGTTTTGTATCGACCTATTCTAACCGGCTGAAGGAGGAATAACTTGCTACTGTTAAAGTGGGAACCACTGTTCTTGGCAAACTGTGGGTCCAAATAGGAAGGAGTGCACCGAACAGTCAATACATCACAAATAAAGTATTTTATGAAAGTTCTTCATTAAACCTAAGAACACGCCAAAAGTATATTCAGAAAAGTTTTATTTTCATAGAGCCAGGAAGGTTGACCCCTAACTGTCCTGGAGCTGGAGGAAAAGTCCACTTGGTTTTCTGACGGTCCTCATGCTCTCAGCGTCTTAATCCCGGTCGGGTCGGCACATTGATTCAGGAGAGTCTGGAACAGAGTGATAATGCTGGAAACAAGCAGAGCGTGAAATCATGCAATTAGCAGAAGGTGTCCTGAAGGTGTTGGAGCGTCCTGCAGCAGGAAGGTCTTACAGCGAATCGTTAGTGTTTACCTCAGAAATGGGCTGGAGTTGGAAAGCAGCTCACTTTCAGGTTGTTATGTCGACCTTCTAAGTCTGACCAAAGTTTTCACTTGTTAAATTATGTTTATTAATAGGCCTGTTCCTGGTTTTGTAGGATGAATCAGAGCTGAAAATATAGTTGAAGGAAGTTTTGAACTAAAAAATTTATTTAAATAAATGATGTACTTTAAGGCCCACATCTTGGAGGTTCTACATATTTCATAATTTACGTGGTTTTCAGAGTTGTGATCACAATGTTGCGTTTCTTGTCTGTTCTGTAAACTAAAACAGATTTCTGAGACAAACTCTTCAAGAGGATTTTGAACCGAATCCTGGTCCCAAAAATCAGAACTGAATTGTGATTTAGTAAAAAATTCTCTACATTTTATTTATCCTCAAAAATGAGAATTCCCCTTATAGACATGGCTGTTGCCCCCTGGTGGTTTTAGAAAGTACTGCAAGGCCAAATCTGGAGAGTTGGTACCGAAATATCAGCTTTAAAACTGTAAAAACAAATTTTTGTGATTCATTTGTTGATACTGTCTGTATTTATATTTGTTTCTCAAGAAAATGGATCGGTAGAGCATATCCAAAGTTCGGCCCGGTGACTAATTGTGTGTCCCCTTGTCCACTATTCTGACGTAAAGCAAAATTGGCCACAATGACGAACTACTGACAGATAGTATTTAGTGCAAAATAAAGTAATCCTCATTTATTAAGGATGTTTCTACAGTTATCTCGTCTTCATAGTGTTTAAGATGAAACATTAATCTTGGTTTTGTTTTTGTAGAATCTAGATTTAAAGAAAATCCCCCTCCAAAAGTGTACATAAGTTATATGTGTGTAAAGTTGTATTTATGTGTTCTGGTGATTAATTGTTCAGTGATTTATAAACCAGCAGAAGGATTTTACAGTTTATACTCTGAGCTGCAGAGACTTCAGAACTGGGGCGATGCGCTCCATCTTCCTTCCAACAAATAAGAGGCATTGATGTAAATTAGCTGCTTTTTGAGTTGTTAAACAATTTAGTTTGATTTTGAGTTTTGGCAAAATGTTCTTCAGGTGATGGAAGGCTGACTTTGTAACTGTGTTTATGTGGCTCTGAATGTTCAGGTCTGCAGTGATATTCAGATTCCATGTTCATGTATCGGTCTGTTGAGTTGGGAAACAGCCTGGCCAGCTGGTTTCTGCCAAATCATTTCCATAACCGACTGAGTGAGTGAAGTTTCCAGCTCCGCCTTCGTTGGGGAAGATCTGTGGTGAAGTCGATGCTCTCTGGTCTGAGGCGAAGCAGCTTTCAGATTGGCCTGCAGCATGTTGTGAAATGTTTAGCTGCCGTCTCGACGGCATCGTACCCGACTCGACCTCGGTTTACGCAGTCTGCGGGTGTCGCATCGGGACGGCGCCGCCCGCTGCCGGCTGGTCCAAGTAGGACATGGTGTGGGATGTGAAAGGACAGTGACTCACTGACCCGCTCTCTGCTTCCTCAGGCTGATCCACCAGCCCAGCGGCCGCTCCTACCACGAGGAGTTCAACCCCCCCAAACAGCACATGAAGGATGACGTAAGTAGTTTCTGCTCCGGCCTCCTGAGGGGACGGTCTGAGCAACCCGCCGCCCGCCTGCGTGACTCAGGCTGGAAATGGGTCAGAGTTGAGCTGCTTTTCAGTAACTAAACTCTTTTCACTTTCAGACACGTTTTGGTTTTTTTTTCAGAAAGCTGTGACCCAGTTTCAGTCTGAAAAGCTGTTGCGTCTCCATGTAGGTGGGCAGGAATGACTACTGGTGGAGCATGTTTTGTAACGTCCACTGACCTTTTTATAATGGCAGACGTAAGAATGGCTCTCAGACAACAAAAGCTCTGCCAGAACTGGATCTGGACCCGAATGGCTTCGTTATAGTGAAACCTTTAGAGCTTCAGGATTGTGTCTGCATCTCAATATAAGCAGATTTATTTTTTCTACAAGAAATGGGTTTCATTATTACACCCTGTTCCAAATTGTTATGCAAATTGGATTGAAGTGTCATAAAGATACATTTTTTGTTGCGCTATTAAATTTATAGGTGGTATTGTGAGTCAGGGCTCTTTGAATCACTATAATTAATCTGGGTTGATCAGTTTAGCTCAATTAAAGGAAATCTACTTAAGAAGGATGTTCCACATTATTCAGCAGGCCGCAGGGTTCAAGCAATATGGGAAGGAGAAACGAAGATCAGATAGTGTAATAAAGTAGTGAAACATTAACCTCGTGCCGTATGACAAGGTATGAAAACATGAGATATTTAACTAAAACTGAAGCGTTATTGTACTGTGAAGAGATTTGTGGCTGATTCAGGACAAATATGGTTTGTACAGAAACAGACATAAAGAGGATTAAGAGAGCAGCTGCTGGTGCCTAGGGAACCTCAAGGTGGAGGATCCTCCAGAGGCTTGCAGGGTAGTTCCCTGTTTGTTCCCTGTAGTTCCCTGTTTGTTCCCTGTCATGTCAGATTAGAGGATTATAATTAAGATAGAAGTTGACTGATTTAAATGTTTTCATTCTTCAGCCTCTGAATAAATAATCCAAAATGTTCCTGTAATTTGAAGTGTTTACAGCTGCAACACGGAAACGATGCATGTTGGGAATTTCTTGCGGTTGTTTGCTTTACTGTCACAACTTGTCAGTGTGTGTTGACTCGATGGCTCGGTGCTTCTGTTGCTCATTTCCTGCTTCCTGTCTCCAGCTCAGGCTGTAACAGGCAGCAGCACGCAGGAATTAAAGGGAATCTATTGCACAAACTCATCCTGCACACTTTTGTGCTTAGATTTGAGTTGGGTTTTTTTTGTTTAAGCCCAAGTGATTAGTTTATTTTTTGTCATTAAGTTGATGTTTTTTGAGCTGTCTCCATGGCACCACTGCACTGGAAAAGAAAAGTTGTTGTCTTACCATCCAGAACCCACTTGCTGAATTCTTGCTGGTTGTGCAGGAGGCTCCATTTCTGCTTTTCAAAGATTGTGTAATTGTGCTTCTGGTACTAACTTTTTTCAAATGCAGGTGTAAACGTTGGGTTGTGGGTGGTGGCCAGCAGCTTGCATGGATTTAAAGTGACAGAGGCCCTAAAACAGGCAGAACTGATCAGACTAAAATCTCATTTTCTGACTTTGTGCTAAAATGTAATGAACAGGTTTTGGAAAGTCCATAAACAGAAGATGCAATTTTATAAAAATAAATTCAGTCATTGTTTTCTCCAAACTTTTGCTGTCGCCATGTTGCGGGCTAGCTTAGCATTAATTTGCTGATGTAAAACTTTTCAGGAGGAGGAATCAATTTCACATTCCTGCTTCTTAGATTCATAAATATAAAAACAAAGGATGTTATATCTATAGTTTCATTATGTTTTAGTTTTATAAGCGCACGTTAGTGTTCCAGTTAGTTATAGTTTTTTTTCCTCATTAATTGCCATTTTTTCAGATTTTATAGTTCTGTTGGTTTTAGTTATCTGACCTTGGTTCCAGGAAGTACAACAGGTCACCTGTAAGTGATTGTTCCCTCCTGAGGCCCCATCCTGATCTTTCTGCTCCTCCACCCAGGTGACGGGCGAGCCGCTGATCCGCCGCAGCGACGACAACGAGACGACGCTGCGCTCCCGCCTGGACGCCTACCACAGGCAGACGTCCCCCCTGGTGCAGTACTACAGCGCCCGGGGTCTGCACGCGGCGGTGGACGCCTCCCAGAGCCCCGGCGTGGTGTTCGCCTCCATCGTGGCCGCCTTCTCCGCAGCCACGGCCGCCCCGGCCCGCGCCACCGCCTGTAAAGACCAAGTCTCCTTTATTTAACCCTTCCTTCCTCTCGTTTCCCCTCCTCGTTGGAGATTAACGTTGGAATGTAAACAAGGAAAGTTGGAGCTTAAAGAGCCAGTCGTACTCTCGTTTTCGTGGTGACAACATGTTGAATGCGTGACTGGATTAGCTGATCTGAATGCGACTCTGTAGAAAACATTTCCTCAGTGTTGACCTTCGTTTTCTGGACTCTAACTGTCCCGACTGGATTCTTCTTCTCCTCCTATAACTTCATCTTTCCTGAAATAAGATTTGTGTCATTTCCAGGTGTGGATAATCATAGAAAAAGTTGTTCACGTCTCGATGTGTGAGGGCTGGAGATGCGTTTCAAACTAAAAGTGGTGACGGATGTTTACGCTTTACATGATAAAATCAGCTGCTGTTGTTTCTGCCTCCATGAAAACTCAGATTTTATTGGATAAGCAACTATAATAGTTTTGTTGACTGGAAGGAGATGAGACGTCTGAGAATCACTGATCTGCATGTTAAATGTGCTGCTTGCATCAAACCAGTTTTATGCTGGTTTTCATGTGAAAGACATTCATCTATCATGCCTTTTCTTGCAGACTTTTTACAGATCCCATCATTAATTAATCTTCTAGAAACGTCAGGAATCAGAATTGGGTTTGAAATAAATCATTCGGATTGTGATGAATCCATTATTGAATTTATCCTGAGCTGCTTTACTAATTTAGAAATTGTTAACTGAAGGAAATACACTAAAAAAAGGTTCGTTGTATTCAGAGCCAAAAATGTACAAAAATATTTACACAGGTTACACACATCCTGCATTTTAGAGGATAAATGATCATTTTATTTAAAAAGAAAAAAAAATTGTTAGAAAATTAGAATATTCGATCACTGGAATAATTGTTGGTTGCAACCCTAAAACTGACGTAAGAGTTAAAATGTTGCTGATGAGCTGCAGTTTTCATTTTACCAATCGTTTTGTTCGGTAATATTTCCATCGTTTCTCTGGTTTTGCAGTTTTATCGCTTTTAAACCAGAACTGAGTCAGAATCAGTTTCGTGTTTGAGTCTCTGAAGTAGTGAATCTTGTTCTCTCGTTTGTTTATCCATTAGTTCAACCATCTGCTGCTGCCGCCCTCTGATGACCCCATGCATTAGAAAGGGAGCTTTTATGGGCCGGGTTAATTGGTAAAATCAATCAGAACCTTGTTTTTTTTTTTCTGGGAAATGGACAGAGTCGTGTTTTCAGCAGAGAAGCAGAAATTTCCTGTAACACGGCGTTAATCAGTTTGTACAGTCTGTTGTTTTCCTGCTGTTGGCGCTGCAGTTTCTTTATTCCCGTTTTTATTCACGTTTTATTCCTTCTTCCTGTTACAAAAACTCAACTTGTCACCTTCTGTGTCAAATTTAGAGCTTATTTTATCCATGTTTGCCCGAAGGACTCGTGTTTCTATCTGAAACCTGGCAGCAGAAGTATGGAGGCCAAAAGCAGCATCTGGTCTTCCACATGGCAAACAGACAAAACTCTTGATCTGATGTAAAACAGCAGTGAGGAGGTGGAAAGCCTGACCTACTGCTCCTTCTATAGCGCAAAACATGCAGCTGAAGGCAAAATGAAGTTTTACTGCATCACATTCATTCATCTAATGGATGATGATTGGATCTCTTCTGTATTTCTACTTGTGATTAATGTTTTAGTCTGTTGCCATATTTAAAGGGCCAGAGCTACTTTCAAATTTGCTTTTTTTTCTACATTTCTAAACAGATACATGTTAGATTACTAAACCTGAATGTTCACAAAATACAGTCAATAAGCATCCAGATGGCTTTCACCTGTTGGTTTGGACCTCGTCCTGTGGGGAGCCGCGAGGGAGGAGGGAGACCTCCTCCTCCTCATCCTCCTCGTCCTCCTCCTCTTCCTCGTCCTCCTCTTCTTCATCCTCCTCTTCCTCCTCCTGTACTGATGTTCCTTTATCCTGTGATTAGCCGACTCATTGATAAGTTCTTCAGTTTGTGTTTCTGGGCATAAAACAGTGAATTTCAGGAGTTGTGTTGTGATGTAAAGCACTTTGTCACTTTTATCATGAGGTCTGGTGGCATTAGATTTGAAATCTCTTGATTCTTGAACCTTTTCAGCTTCTGTCTCTCTAACCTTCTGACCCGTGATGTTTGTTCCTTAGAAAGCTGTGAGTTTAGTTTATGCTTCTTGAATGTGACCATCAGCCAAAACGGGCCGAGACAAAAAGAAGCTCCAGCATTTCAGTCGAGTTTTGCCGTTGATTCACCCAGAACCTTGTCTCCCCTGCTCCCTCTTGTCTTGCAGCTGGTTGAAGTCTGAGCTGCTCCGGCCCACTGAGGTGATCAAACGGAGGATAGACTGAACTCACTGTGCTGTTAGGCTCCGTCTTAAAGTACATTTTTATCCCCTGTAGATTATGAATGAACCAGCTAATCTCCAATAAACCTCCTGCTTTTCTACAATCATCACATCTTCTGTCTGTCTGTCTGTGTGCATTCTTTCCATTTGGTCCATTTTAGCCACGGATTTCATTCCCAAGTCTGTAGAAATATTTATTTTATCCTGGTTCTGTTCTACTTCAAACACAAAGATCATTAAAAAAAAAAGCTAAAATGTTGTCGTCGTTAGCCTGGAACTGCTTTAGCCACTCCGTTTGTTACAACAGATGAAACTAAGTGGGACATGAATCCACATTAAAAACCTGTATTATACTTTCAATACAAATAAAACATTTTTTAAAACGAGTTTTGGAAACAAGCAGTGAAGAATGCTTATGGAGCCAGTGGCTTATTAAGTAAGAATCCCATTTCATGCCTAATTAAGTTTCAATCAGGAAACAACTGAAACGAATCTTTAATGTTACGAAAGGTCAAAATTTTGAAGCTCCGGTTAAATGCACTGCAGAAACGCAAAACCTGCAGCAAAACCTGGTCAAGGTTTTAGTGCAAATATCTATGAAATAAGACAAAACTTACATTTTACTTGAAAGCAAGAAATTTTACGGTTTAAAAGCAATAAATAAACTAAAATAAAATTGTAATGTCATTTTTACTAAATTAAAATGTTCCAAAAGTTTATTTGTCAGAAACAAACCTTTAAACGGGGATTAAATTATTTTCATTAATCCTTCGTTCCTGTCTGAAATTATTAAAAGAAAAATAAGCTTGGGTTGTCTAATTAATCTATGTAATGTTTGACTTATTACAGAGTAACTAAAAAACATTTTTAAGTTATTAAACATAATTAGTTTCGTTTTATTTTCAGAAGAATAAAAATAAAGAATCCTGAATGAAGTTGGTTTACATTCGTTTTGTTTTTAAGGCTCTTTGTGTTTCTGGGTTTGTTGCGTTTATAGCTGATTAATTTCAGTTTTGTTTGTCGTCAGATTTATTTAATCTCAAACCTGTCAGGACAAAACTTCCTTCTGGCTCCAGTCCAAGCGATGCAGCTTTCCTCTTTGTTCCGACATCAAGCAGCATAAATAAACGGCTGCAGGGCTGAATGTCAGATCCGGGTCCAAAGCTTCGTTTTGTTTTTCAAACAGGTTTGCTCTTCATTCTAAAGATGCGTTAAAATCTAACCTCCAACGGGAAGTTGCACTGCATTAGCTGTTTGTAACGACTTCCCTGGAAATTATACAGAAAAGCTTTTCCTGCTTCTCACTGTGAGAGAAAATTGCAGAGCTGAGATTAAAATGCCTGACTGCATTTACATGAATTATCGGATGTCATTCAGATAAATAAAGAGCTTTTGTGAAGAGATCAGGAACCTTTTACTGCTATGACAGAGCAGAGTACTGGAGGTCAGAAATTAAAAGAAAGTACCGAAGTATTCAAGGTCCCTATGACACGGTGTGACGTAGCATCCTATGTTGCTTAGTTTCTGACAAACGGTCAGAAACTAAAAAAGCATTTAGACACAATTACACCCATTTTAAACATCTGAAGTTAAATATGCAGATCAAATGTTTTAGAAATATTTCTCCTCTGCTGAGCAAAACATCAAAGACATGTAAAGTGACATTCATCAGAGGCGATTTATTGTTGTATTTTTATTAATGTAATTCAACCAAAGTGTAGTGTATCCATAAATATACCACAAGTTGCCTGAATATTTTATTTTGGGCGCTAAAACTGGTGGCAGCCCCGGGCCCTTTCCTCCTACATCCGGCCCTGCTGACCCCAACGTCGGATGCTGGAGAATTTAGAAACCAGAACTGAAATGAGAATTATCATGATGGGATATCTACGATGCGTTTGCAAGTAAAATGGGAAAAAACGCCTAAAACTCTCAGAGGATTATTATCTCAGTGACAGAACACCCTTAAGAATTTGGAACATTAAAAAGTATTTTAAAAATCATTTATTTTGGACCTGGAGCCTAAAATGTAGAAATGGGTCGGATATTAAACTAAATCAGGCTGAAGGGAACAAACATGAAATAACATGCAACTGGTGAATATCGTCAACGTTTCTAAAAGTTAAAACATTTATTATGATTCAATAACTTTAGACTCTTGCTGTGCGTTTCTCCTTTGCAGGTCACACCAGACCCAAAGGGCAAATGCAACAGTTCACACTTTACAGCAACACGTCATCTTATTCACCACAAAATGCAGAAATCTGTTCAGTTTCAAAGAAAGTCAATGTTATAGATAAAAAAACTTATTAAAGCACAAGTCATGTGTTTTTTCTGAAATGTTCACAGTTACTATTGATATTATGCTTGAAAATATTCAAAACACTTTTACATTTTTCTGCAGAAGAAATGGAGACGTGTAATTTTTAGGACCAATTTGTCTGATGAATAATTATTACTCCTGTATTTATTCCTTAACACAATTAGTGTTAAGCTGGTTATTATTCTATTTAATGTCATTATAGTTAAATTAACTATATAGACGTTTATGTATTATTATTATAAACGTTTCAACAATAGGTGGCAAAAATTTATTCATTTTTAATGTTTTGTGTCCATATTTGTTTTACTTTATTCTGATCTCTTTCATATAAGTAACGTTTAGTTGAACGGGTATGACGTCACAGGGTGGGGTTTCCGTTCAGCTGACGAGGTGACGTCATGGTCAGGGTTTTCCGCCTTCGACGTCGCAGGGCGGCGGAGCGGCAGTGAGCAACGCGACGCGGCGCGGAACGAGCGGCAGCGGCAACATCCCCGGAGTTTCACCCGAGCAGGAGGACCAGAGGCCGGGTCCGCCCAGCAGGAAACCCCGGAGCCCCGCAGCGCGGACCGGAGCGGCGCGGCGCGCAGCGGCCTGGGCCTTCCGGGGCAGCCAGGAGGACCGAGGCGTCGCCGGCCGGGGTGAGTACCGCTGCAGACACCCCGTGGATTTAAATACCCCCGCTCATGTCAGATTTACCCCGGCAAGCCGAGACGTGGAGCGGATTTCGGTCATAATCGCGTCAGTTCGGAGCGGAGCGGTGGAGGTTCGGGTCCATGTTGGCTGTGAGGTTCAGCAGCAGCAGCTGCGCGTCTGGATGCAACATTTACAGCTTCATCATCCAGCAGCAAGAGTTCAAGTCCTGTCATCAGTCTCAGCCTCGAGGGCAGGAAATAAACATCCACCAAAACGCTCAGCTTTACAGATCAGCGTTGGAGATTTTCTAGAAAAGATTTTGGACATTTCTGAGCTTCAAAAGTAAAAAAATATTCATGTTTTTTCCATAAAATACCTGACTTTCAAACTCATACATTTATATAAAATGTATAAAATAAAAGTATAAAATTTTGTGAATAATTTCAAAATTTTCATGTTATTTCTAGCAATTTTTTTACTTTTGAATTCAGATTTTTTTTTCTTGTTTTTTTAAATTAAATTTCTAAAATTGATCCTCAAATTTTCAGTTTGTTTGTAGCAAATTTCTGAAAGTCAAAAATGATATTTTTTTAAAAAAATTTTCTGAACTTACTTTCCAAATGTCCATAACTTTCAAAACTCTGAAATTTTTATGTTTTTTCCAGTAAATTTCTTGGAATAAACAAAAATTGGAATTTTTTGACTTTTGAAATTAAATGTTCTTTTTCTAAAAAATTTCTAAAAATAAATAAATAGAATGTTTCTATCAAACATCTGACAATACAAACTCACAAATTTCAGTTTTTCTAGAAAGTCTCAAATTAATCTCCAAATTTTCATGTTTTTCTGGCAGATTTTCAACATTTGCAGCTCAAATGTTGCGTTTTATCAGCAGCAGTTTTGCTTCCGTCTGTCTGTCATTGGTTGACGTGTTTCCTGCAGTTTGGAGGAAAAGCTTCATGCATTCACTGCAGATGGGAACTGGTTTGGTTTCCAGATATCATCTGATGATGAACGGCTTGTCATCATCATGATGATGATGCGTCATGATGAGAAGATGTTTTCGCTGCAGCAGCTGAAATCAAGAGTCAGCTGTGATTCACTGTTTGCAAAGAGTCTTCAGACCCAACCTAGTATGTCTGGATTGATGTTGAATATATATAAATTCTCTCTTTGGCTGCTGATACAATATTAGAAATACATTAAGAGTATTACATTCTCTTAAAAGCAACAGCGGCTTGTAGCAAAGGAACATCAGCATGAGAAAAGCTCAGGCTTTCTGCTCGACTTCATGTCAATACACTGCAGGACTGATCCATTCTTTTTTAAATCAATAACTGGAAAGCAAAAGATGTTTAATCAGAGAGTTTTACATGAATCAGGTGAAGCCAAATCTTTGACTAAAATATACTGACAAAGAAAGCTTTTATTTTTTATCCTTAATGCAAAATGTTGATATGTTTTATAAATTATTGTGTTTCTCTTTTAGCAAATCACCAGTTTTGAGTCTGGATTTTCCAGTTGACGATTGATTGATTATTGAAATAAAGGCGATTAATCCGGTTAGTGTGTAACTCCATGCATGTGCAGAGACCTTGTGCTGCTCTGGCGTCAGCCTGTGTGTGGAGAGGTTTGCCTGCAGGCAGGCATTAAACATTCAGCAGCTCAGCAGTGCGGCTCCTGAACGCTCCTCTAATTATAGAAGCAAGCCGGCCCGATTCCCTCCGCAGCGCTCCGGACTCTCCGCGTACGTCCTCTCTGCGTTTGTGTGGGAGAGAGGCGTTAATGAGAAACGGTGGGAAACCGAGAGGAGTCAAACTCTCCATTTGGGCTCCCATCTGCCTCCCACTGCATGAACTGCTTCACTTCTTACCACATGTATGGATGAAAGAAGCAGATCTCTGCCTCTTGTCCTTTTAGCAACACTTTAACATTTAATTATGAGTCATTTCTTTCAAGCAACCTTTTCATTCTTGACTCGAACTGATTATTTAACCTGTCTGAGTCTAATAAAAACATCTAGAAATGTCAAGTAGAGGTGAAATCAGACAATTATTTCATTAATTTGATGATGAGCAGATATATTTCACTGTTACTTTCCAGGTTTTTCTATCATTTTAGGAATATTATCTGTCCAGACAGGAAGCAGAAAATTTAAAAACCATTCTGAGCTTCCTATGCCGGGCCTGCAGGTGGCAGTAGCACTGCTGGATCTAAACACTAAAGAAAAAGACTCAGTGATTTCCTTCACTATTTATGTGTTGTAACAACAAACACAGTATAACCAACAAAATCAAAACAAACTTCACTATGTAGCTCAAACATGGCTGACTTGCCATGTTAGCAGTGCAGCTAACACATCATCATTTAAGGTCTTAGCTAACACGCTAACATGGGTGCAAAACCAAGAAATCAAAGAAATATTATAGGGGGGGGGTTGTTTTACTCTTTAATTAAAAAAACACTTTTTGATTTGGATTTAATTAGATAAAAAAAAATCTAAAATCTATGTAATGCAGTGAAGCTATCGTCAGTTAAAAGATGCTAATCAAACTGTAGCAGTGAGCTGCGTAGCTAACAGTGGAAAAACTGGACGTAAAATCTTAACCTTTGACCTGAAGGTGGTCAGCTCATCATGTTAATGTATGACTACTGGCTTTTCTGTCATTATATCGCTTTATTAATACATACCTTCACTTTATGGTCATCCCGGTAAAAAGTCAGATTAATGGTGACTAATCGATTATTAAAATAACCGTTTACTAATCGATTCATATGTTAGCTGAAGTAATTCTGCTTAAAACGGCACAGAAATTATAACTTTTGCATTTAAGATAAAAAAAAAATCCCTTTGTTTGCAAATGTTTTTCCCAGAACTGAAGTTTTAGCTTCACCTGGTTCAAAATTGATCAAACAACTTTTTCTGGCCAAATATTGATCACTTGATTAGAACCATAAGCATCTGATCATCTAAGATGTTACTGAAAGAATTGCAAATAAGTTTTAGCTGCAGCTATGTGATTGCTTCTCTGAAGGAATGCTGTTATTGTTCTTAGGGGATAAAATGTTTATTTTGCTATTGAAAAAAAGCAATTCAATCATTTGTTTGTTTGCATTTTTATGTATTTTTAATGTTTTACTAAATAAACTTAATAGAAAAATTGTCAAAATGTGACTTTTCTTGAATCCTATGAAGGATATTAAAAGTTCCTAAAAGTCTTTCTCGGGGACGTAGCATCTGGTTGCATTATCATATCCAGTTGATATGTTTGATTTAATCACAGTATTAGGAGGAGGTGAAGTGGAAACGGGCCAACGTTCTGGTCCGGTTCCAGGGAAAAAAGGCGTGGAAAGTTCTTCAGCTGCATCCAGGCGTTGAAAACATCTGATACGTCTCAGATGTCCACTGGCTGCTGTTCAGGACGTAACAGAAGCCTAAAATAAAACACGATCCATGTTTTATTGAGTGCTTGGGGCATTTTAGCACACACACACACACACACACACACACACACACCACACACACACACACACACACACACACACACACACACACACACACACACACACACAACAAACACACACACACACACACACACACACACACACACACACACACACACACGCTCCATGCAGCCGTTGCGGCTTCCAGTGAAAAGGTTGTGTTTGTGTGTTGAATGTGGGGGCGGTCATTTCCACTGAATTTTCCTTCCATTAGCTCTGATATCGCTCTTCCAGTTCATGCTGAACTGTAATCAGTGATGTAACAGCGGCAGAGGACACGGCGTGCTTCTTCTTCTACTCTGTTTACCATAACTTATCTGGTCACAATTACTGTTCTCAAATCTGTTCCACTTTTTGTTTGTTCCCACAAACAAAATATCAAAATGAAAACGAAAGAGTTTCATTGTTTTGTTGTTAGGAGATAAAAATCAACCACATGACTTTCAAAAAGAAAAGGAGAAATGATTCAGAGTTGTGATTCATTCCGGTTCTTTCTTGACTGATTGGTTTGGTGTCGAAAGACTGAAAAGTTTCTTTAAAACGAGAACAAACTAATTTACAGATGTTCTCCATCCAGTCTGCAGAAGCTTGGCAGGAAGAATAGATTTTACTTTCTAGATGTTCAAACTGGTTAAAACCCAGAAAACCTGCAGCTGCAACTTCTGTGTTACAAAGTGGTGAGTCAAATGCACTCCACACTTTTCAGAGTGTCACCATTAATCGGATGAAAATCAAAAAAGGCACATTCTGCTGATTTTTCATTCAACCACTTAAACTTTTTAATAAAATATTAGAACTATATTGAAAGATGCAACTAACCGAATAATTAAATTCCTTTTGAATAAGAAAATAATCATTTTATTGCCTAAACTGCAGTGAAAGCATCTTGATGCATCTGCAGCGTTTTCTGCTGAACTTAAAGTCAATGCAGTGATTGGTTTGATCCACTGATCAATATGAGATTTTCTTTTCCGATTTTGAACCAAGTGAAGCTAAATTTACCACCACAGGAGTTTTGGGTAAAACACATTGATAGATAAAGGTGATTATTTCTATCTTACAATCCAAATGTTTATATTTCCTAAACAGTTTCTGCTTAATTGAATTGGGTTCTTTCAGCAAGTGGCCATATTTTAGATTCTGTAAACTTCAGTTCACGATTAATTACTAAATTATTTGCCGATTATTTCAATAGTCTGTTAATCGGACCAGATGTTTCAGGTGAAGTTTTGCTTTTTGGGTTTATTATTTGTTTTCTTAGATTTTTATCTAAATGCAGGAAAACTTCTTGAGGAACTGAGAAAATAAAAGTGGATGATCTTCAGTCTGTGGCTCTTCAGGCCTCAGTTTGGGTTTCTGGACCCGGAAAGGACTTCCTGCAAGATTTGTCTTCAGGAAAGGTGCAAGAACAATATAATCAATATTGACAAAGTCATTATCATCATGAGCTGAAAGCTCTGGACCGCCCAGCCTGCCTGGAACTTGTTCTGTTTTTCCAGAA